CAAGATAATAACCTAGTTTTGTCTCCCCAAAACAACATCTCTTGCCAAAGCATGCATGTAATAAAAATCTGGATTTCTACAGCGGCTTTTTTTTGTACGTCTTGACTTGAATTTCTTTGTTTGTGTATCCAGGATGTCCTTAATGCAGTAAATAAATGGCTGTCATGTGACCTTTCTATGTTGAAAATTACATAGACCTGCCTTGAAATATTTTTTAACCAATGTAAAGGTTGATGTTTGAGACTTCATCCACATTGAATCATTTACTTTGCTTTCCCCACTTGGTCATTTCGCATGATCTTCATCAGCCTCTGGAGTTTGCCCAGTTGTCCTGAAACTGCAGATGTTTCCATTTTCATTGTTACTCTGAGCAGTTGGAGGAATTCTTATCCAGGTCGGTCTAAATCTGCTGATGACTCATTTATTATGATAGAAAGCTCCAGAACAGATACTAAATGGACTGAAGAGATTGTGTCAAATGATTTACAGAAGACACAGAGGACAGGACACACAATAGGCCCAAAAATTCATTCTTTGATATTAGCATTAAAATGTTAAAGCTTGCTGCTCTCCTTCCAAAGTGCTCTCACAACGCAATGTCTTTTGAAAGATAACACTCTCCTTTCTGCGACGATTGCACAAACATTTAAGTGTAACCTCAGTCGTGAGGAGAAGATGACTTCCTGCCCGCCATTCAAACCGAGCACGGAGACAGAGAGGTTAAGGTGATTTGGGGAAAATCCTATTCACACCTGGCTCAAACACTCCACTGTTCCACAATGGGAGCCTTTCTTTCCTTCAGGTGACATTGAGTGTCCAAGGTCAGTAAAGTTCAGGAAGCACATGATTTTTATTTGAAAATCTATAAATTGTGAAAATGAATGCCCCTGTGTTTATTTGTGCTTCACTCCACTCTCGAGCCCAGAGGCCTCATTCTGCTTGCCAGCTGCCAACCTATTAACACCCCTCAGAAACCCTAACAGTGCTGCCACGGGACGGCTGTTTGTTTGACTTTGTCATATTGAATTGAGACACGCAGACTTGGTGGACGGGAGGTGAGAATGGGCATTGACTCATTTTGAAGGGTGCACTTGTTAAATCTCTGGCCATCTTGGACGATGTTTAGACTGGGAAGGGGTTCCAAACCTTTGGCTCTGGTCTTGGATGATCCGCCTGTGGGTGAAATCTGTATTGCTGAAATACTGAGAGGTCTGAAGCCAAGCTTTGCATTCTTTCTGGACCACAGAGCTGACTTGCAAATTCATTTAATGGGGAGAGTTTGAATAAACATGGAAAAGGACAGAATCATTTGGGCTTTAAGGACACTGAAATGTGAATGAATACATAAACATTCTCAAATTGTTGTCACAGGATGTGTGTTTAATGTCACTGGAGATCTTGTAAAGCCATCAAGTGTGTGATTGTACATTGTTGTCATTTAAGTGGTTGGTTCAATCAACATGTTTTACCATTCAGTTGTTGAATCTAGCCATACCGATAGTTTTGGTTTTATTAGTATATCAATTCATCTTGAGGGGGGCGTGAATATCTGAACCCAAGCGTCTACAAAATTCTTACAGTGAGGCGACTGAGATGTTTAATCAAGTGTATAAAAATAAAAATAAAATGTACATTTCAGTCCAAATATTTGCCTCAAGTGACCTTTGATACTGGGGATATACAAAAACAAGATTTCGACATATTTATGAAGTCCTCCAGCTTTGCTCTTAACTGGAAGAGCTGGATTGTTTTTTATGTTACAACAGTTATTGGAACCCCACCACAAACTTCCACAAGCAATTACTGCTCTGAATGAACAGCCCGTTCTCATTCCCAGGGCCTCAAATACCTACGCTTTGTCACGTCCTTCAGCATCTGCTATCAACACACGACACCCTTTGGCGTCACTGTTCAACGCAGTGGGGGAAGCCCTTAAGTTTCATTGTTGAACGCTAAAAGTAGGCCGAGTATAAATAACAGAAAATCAGAGTAAGGAGGTGGTTGGGTGGATTGGTGGGTCAGAAACCGAACTTTCCCAGGTTTCCTGTGTGAAACAAAAAGTTAATATCGATTGTTTTTAGTTATGTTACGCAAGTTATGTAAGTAACGTAGTTATTTTAACCCAAAGCGTGATCTTTTCCTAATCCTAAGCAAGTAGTTTTGGTGCCTAAACCTTACCAAATTGCAACATTTCACAAAGTTAACCACTAGTTTTATTTTTGAAAGGGTAACCAGACATTGCATACCGCAGAGGCCTATAAGTGCAAAAACGATGCCAAAGGGTACCCAGGGTGTTAAAACCGACACCAAGGGGCTTTGACCAAGCGTCCACATGTGATGCCCTGGGTTGAGAACGGGTTGCAATGAAGCATACTGCTTTAATGAGACCTGTTAAGGCTTGCAGACAAATTAACTTCTTGCATGATCATCAAAATAGGAGCCAAAATTTTGTTCTCCTGCCAAAGTCAGGAGTAGTTCAAATTCAGATAAACAGATATGGAGTTCACTGTGTTTGTTGCTAAAAGAATTCATGCTTTCAACACTCTCTCCAATCTTAAAGTTGCTTTTTTCTTTAAATAAATCAAACCCTTGTGAACCAGCTTAAATATCATGACACAAACAACAATATTTTGAATTTGTGTGGCCTGAATAAAGTAGTTCAGTGTGTCTCTGTTGTTGTTTTGACGAGCAAATTGAATGACTTGATTATTACCAACCACGACAGCGTGGCTGGCATTGTTTTGACCTTGTTAGTCTGTTTGTGTGTGTTTGAGGGTGACAGAGGAGCGACTTTTCACTCCTGTACTGTCCCAATGCTGATCGCGTCATAATCATGCAAGAGGTATTCGCAAAACTTAACATGTGTGTTGTTGAGCTCAAAATGAAGGCCAAGTTTGAAGATGGAAGGGGGGGGACGACAGGGGCCATTGGCCATCTAAGCCCAACCCAAGATTATACAAGTGTGGAGGTCTTCACAGGTTCACCGAGAAGGTTCCTAGAGTCCAGGATCTCACCCAGGACAGGAGTCGGTCCGAATAATAGGCAGTTAAATTAGGTCAAGTAGGGTCCTGTTGAATAGCGTTGGCTCTTGGTTGTGTTTATATGTTTATTTGCTCTGATTGCTCCAACTGAGCTAATTCTCGCCATAAATGAAAACTCAGTATCGATGTGATACAGCATGTGGAAAGCAAACAGAAAAGCCTGCTAACCTAACAAGAGATGAAAAAAGAAGTTGCAATGTAGCTGTAATGTGTAATTTATAATAAAGCTTTGGTTTACCAAATGACATTTGTTGTTCAGCTCGGACCTGGTCAGTGCTGCTAGTGACAGGTTTCTGTTCATTTTTGTGGAGCATTTTGAACACCACAAGAGTAAATTCCATTCATCCCAATTGCACTGGGGTAAAAGCAGAAATCTCAGAGGCTGTTCTTTAACCTCTCACAGAAAACCAAAAATATTTTTATGGCTCGATACCAGAAGGGTTGACTGATGATTTTTTTCTTTTTGTAATTTGGGTGAATTAACCCTTTAAGCACAGTTACTAAACATGACGTTTAAGTATTCAGTTGCTGAGGTGTCTTGCACCGCACGGGCACCATGTTCAAATTTCCATCATTAAATGTCACAGCTAAAACTTTGTCAGAAAGGCCAAACAGCGTTCCAGGCAGCTGCGAGTATATGGTTTGGAGCCCCGCACAGGAGGAATCTGTCTTGTAAACAGATATGGCTGCCTAGTCATGACCTCAGCCTCCAAGTATGAATTCTCAATATGATCAGTGGATTTAAAAGCCTGGCTTTCCAGGATAACAGACTAATAATCATGCATCTCTGGAGAACAACAGAAGGCTCAGAACTGGATGGATAAAAGGGAAGTCCTCTAGACGTGTCAAGACTACTGCCTATGTCATTATGTCAGGTAACAGACAGCTGAGATTGTAACACCAGTATTATGCCATAGTAATTACATTACTATCAAAGCATGGTTTGTCTGTTTCTACCTCACAAGATAGTGAAAGTACCATTGATCTTTTACATGGCACTCCTATTTCATTGTATAAACTATGCATGAACTACAATAAACCCAAACAAATGTTTCCCCCCCCTTTCAGATGATTTATGGTCTGAGCCTATATGGCAACAGATGGATTCAAGCTGTTATGCAGCAGGCTTTATGATCCTGATGTACACCATGACTCACATCATGCAGATGGTCTTGTAGAGCAAGGGAAAAAAAAGCTCTCCTGGTATCCCCCTGGGGGTGGGAAGATGATGCTTCCCCCACGGTCTCAGCTGTGAATGGGTTAAAGTGATAATCGTTCTCACTCTGAACACTTGTGGCTTGAGGCATAATTGAAGCGAGAGCCTTTGTTTCAATAGTTTACATGAGTTGTCTAGATTATGCTGACAAGTGTCAGAACACAGATTTGATGTATTCTGTAAATTAAACAGCCATTCAAAGGTAATCAGGATATTTCTGCTAAGCAGGTAATGACAGCTTTTCTGCCCCTTTTCCACAGGTGTAAATTGCTGAGTTCCATTTGTTTCAGGGTGATGGGATAAGGTATTCTGGCTTGCTTGAAACTGAGCCTAAATCTTTAGACAAATTAAAATATGAGAAAGCTTTGCACACCAATTTGAACTTCAATATGAGTTCAACTGATCAAGTTCTCAGAGCAGACAAATGAAAATTTCCAGTTGCTGACCACAAACTATGTACATTTGACATAGTTAGATTTATTGGCCATTGTTTGATCTGTACTTCCTTGGACAGATCCTTTCAGATGCTGGGGTATGATTAACTGCACAGGAGTATAGTGGTGCTGCAATGTACTTGCAACTGACAGCAAACCCCCACCCAGGAGAAAGCTGGGGCTGCAGTCACTTTCCTTGTGTCAAATACCTGACATGTAGTTAGTGGTGTATAGACATCAGAAATCATACAGGGAAGAGAACTTCCTAGTCTTAGAGCAACCTCTAGTGGTGAAAGACGACAAAGCAAGTTTCTGGTCAGAACCATTTAATAGATGCTATAAAACATTCAAGGACATAAAACCCATTTTAAAAAGTATTGCTGTACATTTTACACTGCCACACAAACAATCCCATTTTAGCTAAAACCCCCACTGGACCCTTTCAGAGCATGCCACAAGTTTTAGATTTGCTGCTACATTAAGCTATCAAAATAACTTAGAGAATTACTTTTGCACAAGTTTGACTTGGTCAAGTTACATTTGGGGCACCATTTAGTGAAGGGTTTTAACATGCCTCAAGATTTAGTCAGTTAATGCTGGTACATTGTATAAGAGTCCATTTACAACAATTCAGCTCAAAGATATGGGTTGGCATTACAGTGTCAGTGGTAAGTGAGCCTCATGCAGAATACGTTGAAGGTAATGTGGTTCACTGACCACCACAATGTCTATGGCCTAAACTGCCATTTTGAGTGGGCTATTAGGTCTGGGTGGTCCACATTAGTAACTGAAAATTTAAAACTTGTTGCATGCTTTGGAAAATAGTAAAAATTCACACAATTCAGTTAGTTAAGACATGCAAACCACTGACATGGTCCTTGGTGCACTGATCCTTCAGTCACAATAAAAAAGTTTTAAGTTACAACTGTACAAGTTAGCACATGGTGCCAGACACCTCTACTTCACCGAGTGAGCTGCTTTGCAAAATCTTTAACCACTGAAGACTTGAGCTGTGCGATGGTGGCAATCCTCATCTGCTTTGAAGTTGAGTATTTTCCTTTAATGGCCTACAAGAGGGAGAGAAAGAACAGTAACCAAGTGTACCAATCATGCACCAGATGTAGTATTGTTTAAGTTTCAGGGAAATCAGGATTATGCAAGTTGCATTACTTACCATGTGCTTGGTCAGCCCGTCGTTCACTTTCACAACATTCTTTGCAATGTGTGCCATCACAGGAATCAAACTCTCTGCTGTATAGTCCATGTAGTGCTGCAGTGTCACATCCTAAGAGACATTTCAGAATTTTGTCACAACAAGAAGTCTTGAGCATTTTTCTATTTGAGCACAGGCTAGTCCATATCAACTTTAGACCTGGAGGCCAACTGATCATGCTCATATTTGCATGTTGTAAATATATAGTGTAGTCTGTAAGAGTGACATGTAATTAAGTTAGCCCATTTTTAACACCCCACCTCTGGTCAGGTTTATGTATAGGTAGAAATGCGTAGCTGCAAAACATTTAAGCTATGATGGTTTGAGGAGCTCTTATGTAGGCCTGAGAGATTTCACTCTCAAAGTATAACGCACCCATTCACCAGCATCCAGGATCTTGAGCGTAAGCGCCAAAGCAGCACTCGCCACCATGGACGGTGGGAAGTGAACCATCTCATAGTCAACCATGGTGAGCTCCAGGAGGTATTTTGCCAAGGTGTGTTGCTCAGCAGTTACCTGAAGGACAGACAAGTTATGTTAGTGCCTGGTAGAACAAAACCACCGAATCCAGTTTCTGCTTAAGACACTGCTACAAACCTCATAAATCTTTGAGGCCCTTCTGAGGAACTGCAGGGGAAGAGGGCGGCCTAGTTTGAACTTGAGCACCCGGAGGATGGTCATCTCCATATCTCTGATCTGAGCGGTGGTGTAGGCCCTGTCAGTCACGTAGGCAAAGTCTGAGATCTCTGGGGGGTACATCTCCTCGTATTTGGAAGCAAGGAACATGGCTGTCACACCGACGAGCTGCAGCTGCTTCTTGGGGACTGGGTGGTCCTGTTGATGGGCAATCACACACCGACTTTAGAAACTGATGCATGTAGCATGTCAGCAGAAGGCTAGTACTTATATAGGAGATGCTGCACATTTCATGCAGACAACTGATGGGCTAAAGTTTGATAAAGAAACTAACTTGAAGAAAGCGGTCGATGATTCCCACAGTCATGTACATAGTCTCCTGCAGTAGACGGAACTTCAGGTTCACTTGCACTAGCCAGTCAATGAGAATGGCCCGCATGTTAGCAGTCACCTCCTGCCCCTGCAGATAGGTGGGTCTGATGTTCTGGTCAATCTGGAGAGGGGAAAATGGGTTAAACCCAAAGGAGGTGGTGCACAGACAGATGTGGCCAACAGTTTAGATATTTTACTTGCCTCAAGCTCTCGGAGATACTTGTAGATGTCTTTCACATAGTCGCTGCAGAGCATGGGGTTGTCATAATCATCTGCATCCACATCCCTGACAGCGGTGTGAAGAATTACATCTGAAAATGCTTGACACAAATCAGCAGGCTCACAGCCAGAAGTCTCCATTGGAGTGGGGGATGCTGGTTCAGGTAGAACCTGAAAGGGTGGAAATCCCAGGAGTTTAAACCAAAAAAAAACACAATACAAACCACTACAGATCAGCTCCACACCTTGCAGTCATTCATCTTAATGGCCAGATAGCTGCTGGCATCTCACTCACCTGCGCCTCAATCTCAGCTTTAACAGCAGCAACATTTGGTTGTTCAACTACTGCTTTTTCAACTTTAGGTGCGACTTTGGCCTTCTTTATGGCCTCTGTCTTGACAGTCTAAAATGGAAAACGGATTAGTTAACAGTTGACATATCATGGGTTGTCTAAATAATTCTCATGTCTTCCTATCAGGAGATGCACCTACAAATGCATATAATCAGGGGGTAAAGCCAGTGGAGCTTTAACATAAAGTTAAACTTGAGACATGAATACAATGAGACCTCTTTCAAGTTAGTATTAATCAGTACACAAAGCTTATAACGAAATTTAATGCATGGCTAACGTCATAACGTTTGTGTTGTACTTCGGAACAACATGAATTAACTTACTTAATTTGCCATCTGAATAAAAGGCTACCAACGTGATATTTTACCTTCTTCTGTACTTCTTTGTTCACTGCGATGTTTCCGATTTCGCCAAGCGCCGCTCGAGGCTTCTGTGTGGGCCCAGCCACCGAGCATGCCTTTCCACTGAGGTCGGACCTGGTGGAAGCCAAGCGGTTCTGCAGAGGGATAAAAAGGCATTTAGCGTTCAGTTATATTGCCTTTTATTCATTTATAAAACGAGGTTGTGGAGTCTCAGTCGAATTCCTATTATGGAATAGTTGCACGAGAGCAGACCCTACAGCGACGCACGAGGGCATTTAATATTGTAATTATTTGAACAAAATAAAATTAAACAAAGATATTTTTCTTCTAAACGACTTTCCAGCCATGCTTAACAAAACAAAAAGCTTGAAGTACTTACTCTAGTAACTCGAAGAGCCATTTCGAAATGTGTGCTGCTTCAACAAAAAGACGCCAACTCGTAATGGAGAACGGTGGGATGTATTTTTTTTAGACTCAGCGACTTGGTTTAAATCCTCGCTCCCTACAAGCTGATTCGCTGTGTCATGATTTCTCCGAGCGTCTGATTGGTCGAGCACATCTGCTTCAAATGCGTTCCCCGGACAACCAGTGGTCACATGATTTAGATTTTCTTCACCTGCTTCCTTTTCCTGTTACGTCCTGATTATCATTTTCTAAACGTATACTGTTTCATTTTTAATTTTTTTTTTACATAAATGAAGAGATTAATGAACGCGTTTACATGCTCAAAAACAAAACAAAACAATCGGGTTAGTTAATGTAAAGAAAAATGCTAACGCGTTTACATGTGTTGTCCCACATTACATTCGTTTTGGTTTGGCATGTAATCAGCAGTTATATGTCGGTAGAAGGCTTATTTTCTCATTTGACCCCTACCCCAAAGACAAGCACATACACAGACATGCCCAGCGCTTTTTACATTGTATGCGTTTGTGAACAATAGGAGAAAATATGGAAAGCCTATCTCTATTTCCTTTGCAGACCAAGTTCATTCTGCACAAACTTTTTTAAAAGCACATTGGTAAGCTTCTGAGCCTCAAGTGAATTATGGTGAACTGTGTCAACACAAACCCATTCAAAAATGTTGAATGGGTTGAACAAATAAAGGGAACAGATATGAGCTTGGCAACCCTATTAATGAACTTCAACTACTGTTTTATAGAAATGATGGAGGCTTTCTATACACAGTAACAGAATTGATGCTTATTCAAAAACAATCTATCAGGGAATGTGCAAATAAGTACAAGGAGACCAGTGGCTTGCAGTTCTGCCAGCCTTAAGAATGCTTCATCATGTGTGGTGAATATAATAATAATAAATAACAATAATAGATTAAATTAATACAGCAATCAAATTGCTGTATTAATTTTAAGTAACTATGCACTTTGCAGCTGTATTTTCTGTTTGGGGGATCGATATGTGGGACTTACCCACAGAACATCATTTTAAACTCAACTTGAAACCACTTCACACAGAATCCAAAGGATCAGGCATGTATTCACATATGATGTGGTGCTTGCCATTGAGTTTTATTGTATCATTGTTTGTGTTTTGTATGTATTTTCTTGGTGTGTTTTGTGCATTTATATAAAGGCCTATCTTGGGATGGGCATTGCAAACTATAAATGGTGTGGTACTGTATATGACATTGTTGGCCCGGCCCTTGCTATTGTGTCTACTTGTCCATATAAAAATACATATGAAAGAAAATAGGGGGATATTAACTAAAACATTTATAAAAATATCAGACTTGGTACTCATTGTTAAATGATCAGACCAACCCTGCTTTAACCTGAGCTCTGTGACTTTGTAACAAAAAGTACACTAGTAACAGTTACTTCAAACAGAGGCTCTTGGGCAATTGGACCTGTTCCTGTGTCTAGGCCTGTTCAATCATCCATCTAGCAATGATGGTACCATATACTGTTCACTTTACTGAACTGTCCATGGGATAATACAGGACAAAGAACCATGGTTAGGTAGAGTGAACAAGAAATCAAAGCTGAATGGTGATCCTACAGACATCCCTGGGAAAAGTGACGCTTTCGAGGAGCATTTGAAGGCAACATATCTCGTCGTACTGGTTGTGTTGGATCTGCAAACAGCACGTCTGCCTGGACCCTTCCTGATAACAGTAACACTGATTTTTAACTACACAACAATGAATCTATGGTCTGTCTAGTTGGCGGAAGCAGCAGGCTAAATGTTCTGGTCTTATTGTACAGGACATCCATGGCCTGAAATCTTTTGTGGCCATACTCCAACACTCGTACCTTCCAATCAGGATCACAATTTCCGTGACGTCCACCGGAAAAAGACAAGACGCAAACGCATCACGTAAAGCAAAACAGATGCCACCACAAATCAGCGACAGTCTGAAAACGTCATTAGTTGAAGGTACTCCCAGGCGGAGTGGAGTCTGCGTCGGTGTAAGAAGACTGAAAAGAAAGCCACAAACAACGACGTACCTAGACGGCCCTAGTTAGTTAGCTGCAACATAAACCTAGTTATTCCGTCAATCCAAAAAGTTTCTTGAAAAACCAACGTTTCTCAGACACAGAAGGTAAGTTAACGTTAACTAACCTAACGTTAGTTAAACCAAAGCCAGCTAGCATACGTGGTTGTTTGGGAAGTTCCTCAAACGAACAGTGAAACACTAACATAAACAATATTAAAGTCCAATTTTAGTTGATTAGCCTTGACGTTAATGTCGAATTGCCTTTCTTAGTTAAAGGTAACATTATGTTCCGATTGGTAAATTTAACACGTGTCGCTGAAAACTTTCTTCTGCGAACGTTACGAGATTGTTGTAACGTTACATTAAATGCAACGTTCCTATGTTGTAACAGCTAAGCTAGCTACTAACCTTAATATTAACTTTAATTTGTTTTTGTTGGTTTTCAACACCGAGCTGTCATTACTAAAAATAAGGACAATCTGTATTTAACTTGGCTAACGTTAATCTGTTAGCAGCACCACGAGCAGTTGTGTACTTAACGTTACTCGAGTTAATGGTGTCTTCTTGTCTAGCTATAGCAAGGTTTTGCGATTATTTGATGCGTCTGTTTAACCGCTTTGATTCATGTACTTATTTCCCATGGCTATACTCTTAAAGGCTTGTTGGTAATGTTGCGGTACTCATTGTGTGGTAGCAACAAAAACAAAGAGCAGACAAAACAAAGGCAACGACAGTGCTAACAGTTTTCTGTTTTAGCTAACCTCTAGAATGCTAACATTAGCGAGATCACGAGAATCTGCTCTCATAGTTGTGGCTAACTACCGTTAGCATACGAACAATTGGACTTAACCACACTATGGCTGCGTGTTGTTGTTGTTTTAACTACTGACCCAGAGGTGATAGTGTTCATGCGTTAACGTTATGGTGCCATGTAAAGTTAGCTTAGCTCATGAAAGACACACGTTAGCAGCAGCCATTAGCTTGCTAGCATGACTCAGTGGATTTGTAGAAGTGATACTGCGGTGGCCCGGTGTTTGTCAGGAAGCAACCGAGCTAAATTATAGTGATTGCTTAAACCATCTCCACTGAGCACGTGTAAGTAGAGATTGTTTTGTTAAGCCTCGGGATGATATTAGCCAGCGAAGTTGACGTTGGCATGCGTCAAGTACCACTAACGTTACATCTTGGGGTCAACGAGTGCTTTTGGCTTTTCTCACGTTGATGAACGTGCTCGACTGTTGTGCGATCTACAGGCGTTGTGCTGAATTTTGTATGTCAATATCTGTTCCCACGAGTCCCCTTGCCAGTACAACAGGGTCCAAACTGTGTAGGACTTTGAATCAGTCTTACTAATACGTTTCATCCCCAGAGTTAGTAAGCCGATGGTATCTTTGATGGAGAAAACCTGCTCTGATGTTGGCATGGTATTGGCTATGTGTGCAGGACTCTCAGGAGGTTATCTTTAAATAGATGTCTTCACATCCTGTGTTGAGGTAACTCGTGTGTGTGTGTGTGTGTGTGTGTGTGTGTGTGTGTGTGTGCGCGCGCGCGCGCGCGCCTTTAAGATTACAGTGTCACATTGCACTCCTGTGACAGAGGAAAGCCACTGTACACAGGTCCATGTGAGCCTGGAGCTGCATGGAGCACTGCAGTCTGCAGGCGCACACACGTGAACGTGCAGATTGCTGTTGTGAGTTGGTGACAGTTTTGGGGAGAGGTGGAAGCCTCTGATGCAACTTCCATTTATGGTTCTCATGTTTTACGAGTGATTATAAACACCCTCCCTCTCTAGTGATATGCTCACAACTTCCTTAAATCTTATTATGAGGCTGATGCAAGTTCATGTTTACTTGAGGAATTTTGCCAGAGAAGAGGGGACTCTGTTCTAACTTGGAGTAAGCTGTACTAATATCAATATTGGCTAAATATTCTGGTGTTGAGACCTATATGTGCATATTTGTGACACAATAGGTATGCAGGAGCTTTAACTCATCATACTTGTAACATTACAGCTGGGATTTTTATAAATACTTACGCAGAGACAATTACTGAGTTTCACCTCTGATAAACAATTCTTTCTTTTTGTTTTACTTTGACAAATATAAACATTTTTCTTTTACAAAACTGTAGTTAACAAAAGAAACCAAAGTTCTCAAATGCTGAATGTTGTCTAAGCAGAAGAACAAGATTTTTGCCCAATAAAATGGTCTTAAATTTGTGTGACAAAATTATCTTAACTCAAGGTCCACTTACTACATTTTACAGGGCTTTAAACCACATCTCACAGTTACGGCTAGGCGGTATATCGGTATAATGACACATACCGATATAATTTCATATGTTCCCCCCCCTCCCACTCCCCGCCCACTTTGCAGGAAATGCCAATATATATTTATACTGGAAGTCAGCCTAACAGTACCGGGAAATGGTATAAAATACAAAATCAAAAATTTAGTAGCATTCTGTTTTTGCTTTGCGTGACTTATGAGACCCAGTCAGAGCGCCAAACTTGAGCGTCTGCATCATCGTTTCTAAAGTCCTCCGTTTTTGCCCATCTGCACTAAAACGCTACCCGGAGTTTTAATACGAAAAACGGGGTCAGCAGCGTTTTCAAACGTCTCCGTTTAAGTCTTCGTTTTTGCCGTCAGGACCGGAGGTGCTAACGTAGTAGAAGGTCTCCGTTTTAAAACAAATACGCAGTAGCGTGGATGGGGCTGCAGTGTAACAGACTGATAATCTTCGCACTGAGCTATCTTGAAGTTTTTGAACAACTGAAAATTCTGAATTTATTTTGGAGCTTTATTTTAATGTATCTATTAATACATTTCAGGTCAGAGTTTCCCTCCTGTATGTTGGTTGTAGCCACACAAACACTCATCTCTCCAGCGTGTGTCGTTTGTGTGTGTCTCCAGGTCAGCTCACCAGGCGGCACACATAGCCATGGCCCAGGAAACCAATCAGAGCCCGGTTCCTATGCTCTGCCCCACCGGCTGTGGTTTCTATGGTAACCCAAGGACTAATGGCATGTGCTCTGTGTGCCACAAGGAGCACCTGTCAAGACAGAACAATGGAGGAGTCAGTTCTTTGAGTACTGTGGGTAAGGCCTGCTGTGTCTGTCACAGATTTGTTTTTGGGACATTTTTAAGGCAAGACTGCCGACCTGTCTGTAGCTGTACTGCCTTTGTCCTCAGTGTCTGACTGGAACATGTGGTGAAATTGTCTCCCTCAGGCAGCAGCAGTGGCCCCACAGCTGAGGCTTCTGCCATCCAGAGGTTAGAGGCCACCTTGAATAATGCTGCAGCTGCTGCAGTAGCTGCTGCAGAGGTGGCAGCTGAGGCTGCTGCCACTGAGGCTCTCAGGTGAGGGGACCCACCAGGGTTTATCATACTACCTTCAAACAAAGCTTGTGAGGTCGCAGTCTTGAAATATGTATTTAACTTCAAAGCTTGTATGGAACAACTTCCACAGGCACCAAGATTAAAAAAACAATGAACAAATGTCATAATTTGCAAACTCTCATGAATACCACATCAGTGGGGTCATTCACGTGGACTCTTCGCATAAAAACAACTATACTTAAAGGTGGCATTAAACCTGACACAATACATCCCTAAAAGTATCTCATGAGTGTCTCTTCCGCAGATTAAGACGATAAGATATATGTAAATCAGTGACACTAAAGCTTTTTATTAATTGTGTCGTGTTTGTTCTTTGCAGCGGGGTTTCAACTACCATTTCTGTAACAAAGCAGATGACTGAGATGAGTCTTTCCTGTGAGGAGAAAGGTGCATCAAGGAGCAAAGTAGAGCTCACAGAACCAGGTGGGTCCATATTATCGGAGGTGGGTAGAGTAGCCAAAAACTGTACTCTGTACTCAGTAAAACATTGCTAAAACAAGTACTTAAGTAGAAGTAAAAGTAGTCATCAAAATAAGTACTTGAGTAAGAGTATAGAAGTATTTACTTAAAATTACTTGAGTAGTGAGTAACTTCGTGAGTAACTCAAAAAAAAAAAAAAGTGGATAGAATTACGTCAAATGGTCTTTCTCAGGTAAAGGTAAAGAAGTGAACTTACTTTTGTATTTATTTGTGATGAAATTAAAAGTCATCATCTCCTGATTAGATAACCTGCCACATACACCATACACAATATTGCCAGTGTGTATCCAAGTGGGATTACAAAATATCACATTAATATTATAAGTCTGTGAGTACTCCTATAAATAAATATTGTTTAAAAAAAGCAATTGTTGATATTATGATATCAAACAAATCAGATTAGGAGATAATGCTGTGATGTTTCATAATTTATTGCCTATTAATACAGGTGTGTTTATTTCTTCACTTTATACCTGAGGAAGGTCATCTCTGGTTGAAACATTACATCAGGCACATCCACATGAAATGAGAGTAGTTTGTCTTTTTTGTGTGTGCATAATTTGGTCTGTCTTCATCAGGCTATGCCAATGAGCATGATTAGTTAAATGCAGACTGCTGGTACGCCATTAAGGCAGAAAGCCGCAGGAGTTTTTAGCATGATAAACTGTGTGTAGCTATTTATTATTAAACACATTAGCATTAATATGACACTGCTCTCTGTCTTCATAACTGAAACCCGCTGCACCAATACAGTCTCATCCCAGGGCGTCAAATACCAAATACTTGAGTACATGTAATGGAGCAAATGTAACTTGTTGCTACCCACCTCTACACATAATGTACCTGTTATTGTTCGTAGAGGATGTTATACCAATCTGAGTTATACCAACACAGTTAAAAGCATACCTGTTTATTGAGTACAGTGTAAATAAAGTATGATTGTATGTACCATGAGATGATCCACATTTGGTTTCTAGTGAGATATCTTTTACTTAAATATCTCTGATTGCCCATTGAGGAGAACTACAGTGAGTAGAACTACTTCATGGCAATATTGGGATTAGAGGGAAGGTACGTCGATGTGATGAACTACCTTGATTTGACAGACTAAATTCATATTTTTTAAATTATAATTTATTCTTATTTAAGGAATAGTGTGTATTCCCTAGTTTAGTAAGATAGATACTTAAATGAGTAAAATGTTTTTCTTGTGCGTCTCCAGTGTTAAGTCAGCCCACATTCTCAGCCTCCCATCCCTCCACTGCTGGCAGTGAGCACTACAAAGGCCAAGAGCCCCCAAAACCCAAGAAGAATCGATGCTTTATGTGTCGCAAAAAGGTTGGCCTTACAGGTAAGAAATGACACCAATAGCTTAGTTTATGTCATTAGAAAATGCTTCATCACTCCTCTTTCTTCTGGGTTGGTTTTTATGTTCATGAAATCTGCAAGTACAAGGTGGAGTGTCGTTTGGTGTTCAAACTGGAACCCTTTCTGTGGCTGGACAGTGAGATTTTTCTGTGTAGTAGCTATGTTTCTGGCTGAGAACGCCACACAATGTGGTCAAACCAGAGCCTCTGCACAGCGCGCTACGCCTTTCAGCCATTTTGCCTCACTGTCCACTGTAGAATGTGAGTAGAAGATACACACATTATCCATCACAGTCTTCTGCAGCAATGGGAGAAAGACAGAAATATGAGTATAAATATTGGTTCAGAAGTTATTGATTTTAGATTTAAAGATTTCCTAGAAGCTGAAGTTCCTTTTTTGTGAGGCCTTGAAGGCCATGCAAAAGGCACCACTTAAATCTAATGTCCAAGTGTCGTTACTCCAAAATCCTGACAGATCCCTTTAGGAGTCACTCATTTTAAAAGTAACATGTTAGGGGGAGCAGTGATGCATTACAGCGTGTTATATTCTGTTACATCCAAAATAAAAACTGTGCTTTACCTGTTCTAACCAGCAGTTCACTGATCACACCATCCCCAGCAACAGGTGATAGTTTTTAAGGTTTTTAAGGATGTGTACGGTAAAGGATGTTTTGCCATTGTGAGGACTTGCTAGTGATCTGACACTGTCTGTCCTCTGCTGTGGCATTGCAGGTTTCGACTGCCGCTGTGGGAATCTGTTCTGTGGACTTCACCGTTACTCCGATAAGCATAACTGTCCGTACGACTACAAAGCTGAAGCTGCGGACAAGATTCGCAAAGAGAACCCTGTGGTTGTTGCTGACAAGATCCAGAGAATATGAAGAGGACTCTCAGTTTGACTTTTAATACTTGGAGCGATTGGCTTTAGAAAAAAAATGGACTTGAGCCTTGAACCTGTCTCATCCCCCCTCCCCCCTTGTTTCCCCTTCTTGTTTGTTACACATTCAGGATTGTTTTCCCCAGTGCATGTATTTCACATATATTTTCAGCTTTCATTCTTGTTTGTGTGTGAACACTTTTGAAGGGTTGTATTGAACAAAGCGTGTATGTGAGGACGGGAGAGTCCCTATCATGGGAAGGGACTGAGGGTGATTGCTGAAGATAAAGTCATTACCCTTTTAGAATATGCTGTTGATGGCTGCCCAGCCTGTTTTGAGATCGCTTGAACTTTGCCTGGAAAAAGCTCGGACACTTTGGGCCTGCTTGGACTCTCAGACTGTTACTGCTGTTGTCTGATGGCGCCATCTCAGCCATGCTTGCACTCTGCTGGCTTGAGTAGCAAAGTTGATATTGTCCTTTTTTTTTCTCTTTTTTTTTTTTTGTCAGAGTTTAACCCTCCTTACTTGTCAGACTTTCGGTCCTGGTAAGTTTTTATCGACATGAAATGCTTCTCTGTGCTGCTGGAATCTCGTCCCTTGACACACAGCTCAGACATATTGCTAAAGAGACTTTAAAAACAAAAAAGAGACTTTTGTTGCTGGCCCTTTCTCGCTGGCTCGTGTTTCTTGCCTCCTGCTGTGTGTGCGGCACCAAAAACAAGATGTAGATGGACAGTTTACTTCTAGTTCTCTCCTGTTGATCTTTGGCTGAATGCTGTGACCTGCTCTGTGCCCTGGATTTGGATGGCAGGCACGTCGACTTCCTTCTCATCTTTAAAACCATCCACTGAAGTCACGACGATACACATTGCTTCATCTTTCTTCAAAAATGTGTGTGTGCTGTTGTATGACAAGTAGCCTAAACTTGTATTAATTTTTTGCCTTTGGAAGGGTTTAGCTCCACTAATATTTTCATCTTTTACTTCACTATTGAATGTTTTCCTTTATTTTTAATGTGAGCAGACAAATTCACAACGTTGGACCGTTGCATTCTGTGTATCAAACACAAGTGTGTGTTTGTGGGAGTAGATGTGGAGGGCCGGTGTGAGTGTTGTGTGCCGCGGTGGTCTTAGGTTAATTTTAAGTTTTTGTTGATTATTGGTCTGGCTGCTTAATCAGTTTGTTGTGTTTTTTACCCTTTAGTTATGCAAGTTTGTACAAACATCTTTATTTATATACTGCAGTGTGCATAACCCTCCAATAATACAGAATAAATTGTATGATGTAAATAAATTATGTTCACAAATATATAATCAAGCATTCACGCCTTTATTCCTAAACCTTTAACCTCTTCTAGATATATCTACTTTATATAAGGTTCTTTTAGTGTCCACTGTTGAAGGTGATGAGAGTCCTGAGTGAAAACAAACAACCTCCAGGAAATGTTACCAGTTCAGTTATCAATCAATCAGCTATAACTGCTCATCTGACAGTTCTGAAGTTGTGTTGAATGCACTGAAAGAACCTGCACACTAAAACTGCGGATTTTTCTCCCAAATGTGTTGCGGTTTAAAGATTCGCATCATCTGACCACATGCCATCAGTTATCAATCACAAACCTGTGTGGGAGTAAAATGCACAGCAGACCTAGAGAATGAGTATTAGTTTTAATCGGCATTTGTCAAGAAAGAAAGATGCATCTGCGATATGTATATTTGCTTGACTTAGATTCCCTGGATTATTTCAGCAGGCTTAACAGCCATTTATGTTTGTCTTTAATTTAAATATTTTAATTGATTTCTTTCTCTAAGAAGATTCAACAGAGGAAGAAAAGAGAGCAATACTACACTAAATGTATTCTTCTTGGCCCCTCAGCCACCCGCACCTGATGTCCATTGCCACCTCGTCAAACCCACGCTCTCACCGTGCTGGCCAAGTGAAAATAGATATAAATGTAAAATAGGTAGAAAGTCGGTTTCTCAGGTAACAGGTGGCAGTAGTGGTTGTGGTATAATGAATGTGGGCTTAAAGGTGGACCAGAAATAGAGGCAAACAGCACAGCGCCAGGCTTGCACATGTAGTCTGCACTAACACACTATGGAGCAAATACACAACCTACACCCACACAGTTTCCTAGAACAGGTTCAGGTGCTGCAACATCCAGCGGGCATTCACAGGCTGCTGTCTGTCAGTTCATCTGCCACGGCTGTGTTTCCATGAGACTCATGTCTCTGCAGGGGGAAACGGGATCTGCTGCAGTGAGTGTGACCTCGGGTCACGTTATGACACCCACTCCCCTGTCTCACCATGTGGACTGTATGTTTTGACACACTCACACACGTGCAGAGTGTACTTGTTCATTAGCATGAGCAGCACATGGTGTCTTGTTCTCCCTCAGTCCCCCGAGGATTAGTAGAAAAGGTTCCCCAAATAATCTCATGTCTCTGCGGAAGTAAACACTGACCACCCAGAGCTTTCATCTTTTCACTTCGAACATACAAATCAGTGTTCTAGTTCTGCTTTCGGGTTTAAACCTTTTATTATTTTGTTATGACCTAGTATTGCTCTGATATTACTGTTACAGTAGTATTGCTGTTTCTTCTCTGAGGTTCATAGTTCAAATTGTTGTGCACCTACAATCATTTTAAGATCATTTCAAGTTACCCTGGTGTGTTAAAATGGTCTGCATTCATAAAGTAAGTAGGAGGCAGTACGTTATTACATGTTAGAAATGGAACAAGCCAGATTTACTCATATCAATGAATCATACAAAGGGCAATGAATGAATATTTGCCTCACTGATTGATGTTTATTTACTTGGTTGCTTCCTGGAGAACTCAGAGTATTCACAATCAATTCAAAATTACTAGACAGGATTAAAAAAAATCTATAAAGAATAAAAGCTAACAAATCAAAGTTACAAGTAAAGGTACTCCCTCTAGAGAATGGATAAGTGATAAATATGTTATTATCATAGACTATAAATTATTCTATTGTATAATTAATATTATGCAGTCTGCTGTCATACATGCTTATGTATGTGATCCGCATTTTAAAGTCTCATTTGTGGTTTAAGTAAACATTTTAATATTTTACAACCTTATATGTTGCATAAAAACCCTTATAATACAAAGTTAGTAGCAGCTACTGCTACTGAAATGATAAGTCTCCGAAAGTGCAAAAACTACATTTAAAGAAAAATAAAGCTTTTGAGTAACACCTCAGTGTAAAGTAACTGCACACAGATTGTGTATGACTTTTCAATTTCAGAGTGCATGCAACTTCAGTTCATGTAATGCCTGTGTTTACACTTTTATTTTAGGCAGACTCCTTAAGTTGCAGACAGTTGTAGCATACATGTTCAGAGTCTATGGTAATGTTACATTTTTGGGTCAATCTTTGAGTCTTTTGTTTTTAGTGGATAGCCACTAGGTGGCACAATAGACAAATACAATGCCATTTAACAAACTGTATGTAGCACTAGAAAAAAAACCCAAATATGAATGTATTCTTAAACATGCATTTGGTGTAAAATTATGACATTCTCAACAAATAAATACCATAAACAAAGACCTAAACTGGTAACTGTAAATAAATTAAACTTTGAACATCATACAGACAGCACTATTTGGACAATGTGATTAACACATTCATACATGCAAACAGCTTAAACAGTACTTACATTCTTTAGAGTTGCTAAATTTCACAATATTACTGCCAACTGTAGCAGGCAACAGACAATAAGAAAAGAAATAAAAGAGCAGAAAAGAAATAAAATAGCATTATAATTTGTTTATGCCTTATTTGCTTTTTCAGTCCTTACAGTGGGTATAGAAAAGAATCACCCCCCTGTAAAATAATCACATTTTGTTGCTTTGCAGCCTGAAATGAAGACAGACACAGTTTTTGTTTCATTTAGCTGTATTTACTCAGTGCAACTTATAACATCCAAGTGAAAGATATAACACCAATATGTCATAAAAAAATAAAAAAACATAATCACTGAGTTGGAGAAAGGATCACCCCCTTGTTTCAGTATGTTGTTGAACCACCTTTTGCTTTAATTACCGCCTTTAGTCTGTTGGGATATGTCTCTACTAACTTTGCACATCTAGACATTGCAATATTTGACCACTCTTCTTTGCAGAACTGATCGAGTTAAATTTGATGGTGACCTTTTGTGGACTGCTGTCTTCAAGTCATTCCACAGATTTTCAATGGGGTTTAAGTCTGAGCTCTGACTAGGCCATGCAAGGATTTTTTCTCTTTCAACCACTGTGTGGTCAGTTTTGCTGTGTGCTTTGGGTCAGTGGCATGTTGGAAGGTAAATCTTCTTCCCATTGACAACTTTCTGGCATAGAGCAGCAGATTTTCCTCAAGAATTTGACAGTATTTTGCCCCGTCCATTTTTCCTTCTATCCTGATAAGTGCTCCAGTCCCTGCTGCAGAGAATCAACCCCATAACATGATAATACCACCTCCATGCTTTACTGTAGGAATGGTGTTATTTGGATGGTGAGCTGTATTGGATTTTCACCAGACATACTTATATAATATACTATAATTGTACAAATAAGCCATGGTGGAAATGTCATTTGATTATTGGTCATACAGTCAGCGGGTAAAAAAACAACAAACCTCTTCAAATTTACTACCTGGATTTCATCAAGGGGCACCATCAGGTTCATATTGATGTTGCTCTGTGCATATCAGCCAACTTTAGAGGGTCACGCATATGAACGTCTCATAAGACAGATGGTATTAAATACATTAATAATGCAGGCATTTCCAGGAAGAAACTCTGCTGATGTTCTGAGCACATATCACACCACAACTTGTTTGTCATAAAAGTGGACCAGTGAAGTAAGTAGGCCACTATTGCAAACATGCAAAAAGAAGTTGTACCATGCAAATGGCTGGTCAGGCCAAGCAGCTTGTGTTTATAATCCATATTTATCTCCTTTATTAAATGAATGAATGCATATATACTTACATGGTAAATACTTCAATATGGTAAATAAAGTTCAATATATAAAGGGGCCAATCTTTCATCAAGGCCAATCTTTCATCAAGAATAAATTTTACTTATTATAATTATTAGCCTATTATTATTATATATTGTATGTACTGTATTTGTTGCTATAGTATGTTTTATAGTATGTCTTTCATATTTTGATTGTAATTTTTCCATTCTCTATATTCATTCTGAAAATCAAGATTCCCTTCTGCTCCTTGGGAGGTTTCTGTCCTCCCTGTATGTATGGCGACAGACACGGTTCAAAGTTTATTTATTGCTAAGTAGGGAGGGTGGAGGTGAGGGGAGGCAGTGGGCGGACGTTTTGTCACTCTTGGTGCTGCAGCTCAGTGTGTTTCTCCAGCAGTGTTTTTGAGGGCGTGCCTGACAAGTTGCTATAGGTGAGCATTAAGACGCGTGTCACATAGTGACGCAGATAGGTTATGGAAGAAAAGGCTAGACTACAAACAAGCTGTTTTCCGGCGGTTCCGAGCTTCATTTTCTGTAGGAGAAGGTAACTCCCTTCAGGGTGGACTTTGGACTTTTCCCCATAGCAAACCTATTATATAGGACAATAAAGAAAAGAGAAAAAGCCAAAAAGCTTAATATGACCTCATTAATACATCATTCAGGGGTGACCACGAATAGTCAAAGATTCGATGCTTCCATAGAAGGAGCCTGATCTGACTGCCAGTCTCACAGTCCTCCCTGAGCTCGACCTGTGTTACGGTTTGACAGGTATTCACACCAACCCAAACAAACTGTACCAATGGGGTAAACGCTCACGGGTTCGGTTCTCTTTAATATGTGCTTCTCACTCTTAGGGGTTTTGCTGTTGGTTTCCCCCATTGAGGCTCCTCCTATGGACATACTAATAAAACTGGAGTTATGCCTTAGATATCGTCTGTTTTTGCTGCCCCCAAGTGGCCAAAGAAATCAGTTAATACAGGTTTAAAAGAAAAAGGAAAAACATGAAGAGGGCACTATTTGGACACTCCATACCCTCCGCCCACCTAACACCGCTCGTGAACCATATTTTATTTATCCCCGTGGGGAAATTGCTTTGCAACACAATCACAAACACAAGGCATTTCCTTATAATATCAGAAAAGTTCCCACTAGATGCACGCGTACCCATACACATACCTCGCACAAAAAGCACAGGGGATAAGGTGTTAAAGCTAATATATATGAGGGTGTAGGCTATATGTGCTATATAAGTTTAGGTTAGGTTTTACATTTAGGTTGGTCTGTGTGGTGTCAGTTTACGCTTAACTGACAACCAAGATTTACAGTAGG